CTGATTTATACAGGACAAGAATAAAAATTGCTGACTTAAAATGGGAGCATCTACAGCAATTGAAGGCAGTCATACCGAAGGATGTCCATTCATTTTATGACTTACTTCCTCATTAACAGCCTGTTAAGACATTTTGAACGTTAATGATCTATTTTTAATTTTTTATATCCAATAATAATTATTTCAGTTTGAATAAAATTGCTTTTCATAACAAATTTCTCCACATTTCATTTAATTCATTACTACCCAAATGAATGATAGGAAACCTCCTATGTCAGTATTTTCAGCAATATTTTTGATGCCAAACCGTCTATGTCAAATTACTCTGAAGTTAATGAAAAGTTTTTTACAAAGTTACTTTTATTTGTAATAAGCATTTCTAATTGTATTAAGAAATCAATTGCTGTGAAGGAATTGGCTCAGAAGCTACTTTAGAGAGTTATTTCTTCCTCCTGAAAAACTAAGATTTTTGACATCGAAGGTTTCCATTCTGCACCATCGATATAGTATTTAGCGAACGAACCGAGCTAGTGCCCTAATTTAAGTGGTTGGGATCGAATTCAAAGCAATCTTACGTTTATTAGGATAAAATTTATTATTCTTAAGAACTCTATACAGGATGTCCCATAATAATTTAGACATTAGCTAATGGGTGATAGCTGACATCAAAATAAAGCGTTTGAGCTCAAAGTGCTTAGGCAAAATGTCGCTAGTTTTTTTCTAGGTGATTGATAAATATTTCTTAATAGTATTTTTAAGGATGTATTAAAAATTACTTAACTGATTTAAGTAAAATTTGATATCGTGCTATTATTTAGTATGCTTAATATGAAAATGATATTAGTTTTACTATTAACACTAGGTGGAGCCTACTATAACCTTGGTTCATTAATGTAGCCATAATTTTTTTATTCCCCTGTATAAACATTCTAAAAATAAAAACATAAAATAACATTTCATCTTCTTCTGGTTCCTATCTGTTTCGGATGTTGGAAATCATATTGGCAATCATAACCTTGCTCGCTGCGGCTCGAAACAGCTCCGTTGAGGTTTTCTTAAACCATATTCTTAAATTCCGCAGCCATGATATTCTCCTTCTACCGGGTCCTCGCTTACCTTTGACTTTACCTTGCAATATATACTGTAGCAGGAAGTAACGGTGCTGATTTCTCATAATGTGTCCCAGATATTGCAATTTTATGCGTTTGATCGTAAACACAATCCCTGGTTCCTTCTTTATTTTCCCTAGAACTTCCTTGTTTGTGATCCTTGCTGTCCATGATATTTTTAGCATTTTTCTGTAAAGCCACATCTCAAATGCTTCAAGTTTTTTAATAGTGATGTCTGTAAGCGTCTATGCCTCCGCCCCGTACAACAATACAGAGAAAACATAGCATCTCAAATGTCTCATTTTTGTATCAAGGGATATGTTGTGACTTTTGAAGATGGCGCTCATTTTGTTAAAGACCATTCTTGCCTTTCCTATGCGGCACTTTATTTCCTGTACATTGCTCCACTGTTCGTTTATAATAGTTCCCAGGTAGCAATACTGTTTTACTCGCTCTATCTGCCTCCCATTAATGTATAGATGAGCCCCGTTTATATTCTCCTTGCTGGTAATCATTTGTTTCATTTTGTGGGTATTAATGTTTAGTCCGTACTGTTGACTGTACTCGTTTATTCTGTCCATTAGCCTCTGAAGTCCCTCTAAACTATCTGCTATCACCATGGTGTCGTCGGCATATCTAACATTGTTTACTCTTTCACCATTTAAAAGGTTGCCTTCATCTATTCCGTAAAGAGCCTCGTTAAAATTTTTTTTGAGTACACATTAAATATCAACGGCGATAGGATACATCCCTGTCTAACTCCACGTAGTATTTTTATGTGATCTGTTTCTTCTCCGTTAATTTTCATGTATGCGGTCTGATTCCAGTAGAGTTCTGAAGTTATTCTGAGGTCTTTGTCATCCAGGCCTGCCTCTTTTAAAATGTTTATCATCTTTTGATGTTGAACTCTGTCAAATGGTTTTGTTTTAAAGCAAAAAAGTACATCGTTTTCGAAATAAACTTATTTTGTTAATGATAAGCATGCCTGTATTTAATTTTTCGCAAAACAACCAGGTACCTAGGTATACTGTAAACTTAATGGCGTATAATAAGTCAAGGCGTAAGTACAAATTTATTTACTATTTGTTGTCAAAATGTAGTGCAAGTCATTAAAAAACACTTAAGATGAAGGTAAAATGCCACGTCATAGTGAATTTTCTAATATAGAAATGTGCTATATAATCTGTTTGTATGCCCAGGAAAATTTTTGTTCGTAAAGCAGCTCAACGCTATTTCGAACTTTATCTCAATAGAAGGCAACCAAACCATACAACTATTAGATCATTGTTTGACAAATTAGATAAAACAGGGTTATATTATCCCAAAAACAGGAATGGACCGAGAGTAATTGATGTGGATATGGAGGACGAAATTATTGTGCGTGTTGCAGAAGATCCGAAAACTAGTACAAGGCTTGTTTCTGCGGCCACTGCTAAAAGCAATTTTACGGTGTAAAGGAGAAGAAATTTTACTCCAGTACAAAATCTTTTACCAGAGGATTTTCCAACAAGGTTCCGATTTAGTCAGTTTCAAGAACATCATATCATTTTCAAAATGAGTTTTCCATAAATATCTAGTATGGAATATTAAAGGATTGTATTTTAGGACCATTTGATTTACCAACTAGGCTTAACTAAGTAATGTATCCAAATTTATTGAGAGAAGAGTTACTTGCCAACTCTTTTAGAAGATACCTCTAACTTTGAGACGTAACTCTTGGTACATGCATGATGGTGCACCACCACATTATAGCCTAGAAGTTAAAAATTATCTAGATGAAATGTATCCTCAAAGGTGGATTGGTAGAGGTAGTGTATACTATGACTAGCACGTAGGTCTGCCCGATCCACAGAATAATAAACAATCAGAATGTCCACTCTCAGATGCCGCCTTTGAAGTTTTTCAGCACGCGCGCCATGTTTTAGAAGGAAACACATAACACAGACATATGATTTGTGAGGTTATGTAATTGTTTATATTTATGTTTAATTATATTATATTAATGTTATTATATTTAACAATGTTAATATAATTGTATAGTATGTCTATGATTGCCGTAAGTCAATTAAACCGGGTTAATTTTTCTAGGTACACCACATAAACAACCCTGGTTCCCTCTAAAACATGGCGGAACATCTGCGCGAAGGAGATGCGCGTATTTAATTTTCCATGGAGAGTGGGCATTCTTATTGTTTATTATTCTGTGCCCTAACTAAATCCTCTAAATTTTTACTTGTGGGACTACTTAAAGTAACTTGTTTATGTATAAAAAAATAAATAACCCTCAAGAGTGATAGGAAAATATTGTCGAGGGAGTTAATATAATTAGGGCCCAAAGAAACTCATTATTTAAAATAAGACAAAACTTACACAAAAGATTTAGATTATGTAGTTTATCTAATGGCGAACATTTTGAACATTAATTGTAATTTTTTTCGTTTCGTTTTGAATTATTCACTTTGTCAATATTTAACACCTTTTAAATAATGTTTGAATTTACACAAGTTGTAAATTATTTTCATTTTACGCACGTTTCTAAAAAATACGTTTATTTTGAAAACGGTGTACTTCTTTGATTTGAAACAAGAATATCTTTTTTTTTTAAAGTGAAACTGGAACAAACCATGAAGTGGAGATATCCAGGAGTGGCTAGTATACCTGTTGAATACAAAGCACGTGGTGTTCGTGTGTATTAAGGTATAAAAAAAGCGCTTAATAAAAGCTTAAAATTTTTTATTATAAAGAAGATCTTTTCGGAATTGTATCATTCCATCATCAGTTTACTAAAAGAGAGAGTAAAAATACCAATATTAAAAACAACAAAGTTAAAATTTGAACATACAAAAAGAAAAAGTTGGTTTTTTACTACTTACATAAAAAAGGTTGTTAAAAAACATTGTGTGGCCACATAAAAAACATTCGGTTGACATCTGGATTTAAAAAATAATAATCTTCATGTTATTTATTCAGGTAAATGCAATAGACTCTTGACTTGTGTAATATAAAAAATGAAACTGGGGGCATCTTATATGACCAACTACACCAACTACAGGGGGTCATATAAGATGCCCCCAGTTTCATTTTTTATATTACACAAGTCAAGAGTCTATTGCATTTACCTGAATAAATAACATGAAGATTATTATTTTTTAAATCCAGATGTCAACCGAATGTTTTTTATGTGGCCACACAATGTTTTTTAACAACCTTTTTATGTAAGTAGTAAAAAACCAACTTTTTATTTTTGTGTGTTCAAATTTTAACTTTGTTGTTTTTAATATTGGTATTTTTACTCTCTCTTTTAGTAAACTGATGATGGAATGATACAATTCCGAAAAGATCTTCTTTATAATAAAAAATTTTAAGCTTTTAATAAGCGCTTTTTTTATACCTTAATACACACGAACACCACGTGCTTAATATCTTTTTTGTGTATAATTGAATGTTACTTATTTCATGTTCTGTTCCCCAAAACAGGGCGGACAATAAAATTATGGCTCCATTAATTAACCAATGCTATAGTAGGTGGCACCACCTGTTGTCAATGGTAACACTAATATCATTTTTATATTAAGCATATTAAATAATGTTCCCATATTAAATAATATGGGAACGTAAAATTCTTCGAATGATATATGGCCCTTGCAGAGACAGCGCCAGCGTGACAAACGAATGGAGGGGCAGATACAATAACGAGCTAGAGTCTCTATTCGGAAAAGAAAATCTAGTCAGATATATAAAGACCAATAGACTCAGATTGGCAGGATATGTGATACGTGAAACGACAATCGCCTTATAAACAATGTGTTCTGGGAAAGGCCAGATGAAAGAAGGTCTCTAACGCGGCCTAGAAAAAGGTGAAAAGGTGCAGTCAGAGAAGATCTAGAGAAGATGGGAGTGCGACAATGGGAATTACTGACACAGGACCGACAAACATGGAAGGCAATAGTAAACGCGGCAAAGACTCACGAAGAGTTGTAGCGCAATTGATGATGATATTAAATAATGGCAAGATACCAAATTTCACTTAAATCGGTTAAACGGTTTTCAATATATCTATCTCTAAAAATAATATAAAAAAATATTAATGAATTATCCTGTAGAAAGAAAGCTAGCAACATTTTGCTCAAGTAATTTGAGCTCAAACGCTTTATTTTGATGTCAGCTGTCACCCATTAGCTAATGTTTAATTAATTGTGGGACACAAGGTATAAACCCGCTAAGGTAATGTTCTACTTTAATTTTAGTTTGGAGTAATTACTAAATATATCTTATACTCAAAACAATATATGCTTTAACCAAAAACCAGAACAAAAATATACATTTACGAACATTACGAAAAAATTTACTTTTTAATCCATGTAGCCGAACTACATGCATAACGTAGGAATGCTAACGCCATCAAATGCTAATACACAACATTGTTGGGTCTTATGTAAAGCTCGAATTATTTTATATAAATCCATGAGGAAAAGGGAATCGAATTATTAACAAAATATAATATAGAATCTTTGGAAAACGAAAACAGTAACACTCTTTACCAAAGACGAGTAAAAAAAATTATTTTGGAATTGCACAACAGAAATAAACAGCGTTGGAGAATTCTAGGCAAAACTAAAACCATGGTTTAAACATGAAATCAAAAAAGCAACTAAGTGAAAACAAGATATCTGAATAAGATACAAAAGCAACAATATCCCAGACACATACGAAATTCACACAAAAAAAACTAAAACAAAGTCTACTGTGAGACAAAGAAACTAAAGCAAACGTACTGGGAAATAATGTAGAAATAAAGAAAATGAATGAATTGAGGTTAGTAGAAGGTACACAACATGCTTAGAAAAAATAAGAAATAACAATGTAATACAAACCATTAATATAAATCCTAGATACAAATTGACATGGAAAACCTGGACCAGGTCTTCCAGAAAAAAGTTAAAAATATCATTGGCGTAAATTATTTGGACATAGAAACAGCAAACAATCTTATGCAATTTTAGAAACTCATAAAAATTACATCTAAGCATCGGAATTCTTATCGTGTTTTCAAATATATTTTGCAGTGATGAGATCATATTTATGTATTTGTTAAAATAATACCAATTACAGTTTTTCTGCAAATATTTGGTTGTCACGCCTTAAAATAGACATCTTTATTCAAACTTCTACCGTCTATATAAAGCAATTGCAATAAAAATGCATTTATGCACTGTTATGATGTAAATATTAAGATTTATTATGTTTTAAGATAAAGATGAAATTGTAGCATGTCATTTTTGTTGCTAATATTTTTACGATATAACTACAACGAAATTTGGTCTAATGAAGCTCCATAAATACAAACACCGCGTTTAAAATGGTAAGTATCTACTATAAAATTATTTTTGTTATATTTGTTTATAATTGTTTGAATTATGTTTATTTAAAATTATTACTCATTATTGAGTATTACCTAATTGTGTTACTGGCATTGGGCGTGAAGGAGAGACTCTATTTTGGTTTAGTTTTGAAGTAAGTCTTGGGATCAGGTTTTTTTGTGGCTAGACCATTGTTACATTATTTCCTTACCAGCTCATTTCCGTGGCGAATGGTATGTTTACTTTGTAACTCGATAAATTTCTTTTCTGATGAAAGGCTTTTTTCATTCGTAGTGGAGTGTTTGATTACTTACATAACATGGTACATCCACGATCGATCTTAGCACTTTAGACGGAAAGCTTTGGATAATATGCAGCAACGTTGGCTTTGCACAGCCCCGTAGGTGCAGTCCGTAGTACCAGACAGGTTTGATTATGGCTTTGTCTAGAAGAATTTTGTTTTGGATGTTTAGTTTCGATTTAAGTCCAAGGAGCCAATATGTTTGCCGGAAATTTAAGTCGAACTGTCTTCTGTTGGTCTAGATATGTTTTTTCCAAGTAAAATGTTGACTAAGATGAAGTATCCAGAACCTCTTGGATGCCAAGGTATCTAGAGTCTTTGACTGTTGGTATTCTTTTATTGTCCAATCTTACAGGTGGGCATGTGTTGTTGCGGTTGGTAAATGGTATTTAAGTTGATTTTGTTTTGTTTACATTTGTTCGCTATTTTATATACCAACTAATGAGTATGTCCAGATAATGTTACAGATCTTGTAAGGCTTATGTGGGTCGTTCGGTTACAGCTAGTATTGCTAGTTTGTCAAAGAAGAAAGCGATTGTCGTAGTAGTAGTCTCTGGTTGTATAGAGTGAGAAAACCACCGGCCTGAAAATCAACACTAACTTGTGAGACTCTTGAGTTGATAGAACAGATGTTCAATTGTTAGTCGATGAATTTTAGAGAAAAATATCTATTCTTTGTGTATGATGTAAGTAGGAGGCAATAGTTACTGAAAAGTGTTATTTGTACTTTATAAAACACACCTTTGTATCAGATTTTTTCAAACGCTTGTGAGATGTCTATAGGCAAATTCACGAGAGGATTTCAGTACAGTGCTTATGAGAAGCGACATTGCAACTTAGTCCGCTAGGTACGTTCATAGTCTGCAGGTGTGATACAGGACCGCGTTGGCCCTCCTGTATGATAACATTAAATCATGCAATCCTATTAGTAGTAAACGTAACATTATTTACAACTTCAGGATTTTGCAAATTACACTAAATTTAATAAAACTGTTTTCTTTGTGGTGGTACCCCGTTTTGGCAATTCTCTCGTGGTGAAAGTAAAAAATTGATTAACCAGACGAGAGGACGTGAACATTAAAAGTGTACATTGATAGTTGGCGCTTATAGTACACGTCGTTTGTCGCAATATTTGGGATTGGTACATTTTTTGCAATATCAATACAAATTGCTTCCATTTTTTTTGTTCCTCTGCTGATTCTTCTTGCTTCCCTTCTTCGTCAATAGAATGTCTTAGTCTTTTAGTAGTATAGGTGCGCCGGGAGACCCGAAATATATGTTAGACTCCTGTACAATAATACACCAGTGTATGTTTCGTACGATACGTGAACATTTGGATTTTTTTCTTGAAATAGAGAATACATTTTTATTACATTCAGTTTTATGAAATAACCGTTTTAGAAATGCGAACTTTTTGTAGATGCCTGTTTATATTTTTACAAGAAACGAAACGAGTATTTCTATTATGTTATGTTATATCAATGTATAAATGTCTTATTGAACAATTGATCACTCAGAAAAATAATGATATTCGATATTCACAAATGTTTGTTCTTACAAAAAAACTTTCTATTAGTGAAACACGCATTGTTTAATAATAATTTTTAAATTAATCCAACGCTATCTAGAGTAAAACTTGTGACATATCTGGTTCTTTCACTGGACGCATGGACAAAGCTGGCTTTTTCTCGGTACCCCAAAACTTTGAAGTGTTATTACTCATGACAAGACTACTTTTTGCCCTATACGATAGCTCTAAAATGTTCTTCTTCACGTGTTCTATAACATACAACAAAAATCTGAAATTTGAAAAAAAATGACATGTTTGGTTTTTTTCCTGTATTAGTCTTCAACTTAATAAGTAAGGACATTGTTCCACATTTCTACTTATATTAATTTTTGTTTAAGGAAAAGAAACATTCGTTTCTTAATGCGTATATACTATTATTTATAGTATTTGTAAATAACATTCAAGCATCTAGTGACAAAACCTTCCTTACTCAAAAACACAAGCCAATATCTAAAGTAGAACCGCTTAATGGACCTTGCTGTGTTTTGCCGCTATGTACATACAACCAGTGTTATCAAACGATTAGCTGTGGACATCTTTGTAACAAAAAAGAATTACTAACAAAGACGTAAGTATACAGTCAATATTGATGTTAATTTTTCATATCGTTGGAAAAAAAATTAAAATTGTAAATAGATCAATCAATTATCCTAAAGATCTTACTGCAGGTTCACTACCTTCATAACGTTGTTAATCAAGCTCACATTTAAACATATATTTAAAACTATGAAAGTACATTGATAATGGGTTGCTAGTCAAAAAGTGCCAAAGTTTTTTTTTAGCTCATTAATGCCCAGATTAACTTTTCTTTTATCAATTTTACTAAAATTTTTATTACAAGTCTCTTTGACTTAAAGTTAGACGGAAACATATAATTTTTTGTCAAATTTTAATAAGATAAAAATAATACAGACTGATACCATAATGGTATCACTGGAAGCTTATGATATATCCAATTTACAAAAAAATATATTTAGAATGGTGCGAAACAAAACACTTTACACGTAGTCCGACATCCAATAATACAACCAATTTCAGAGCAACGTCTTCTAAAACAAGTAGCAACAAAATGATCGATTTTGTCATACTTTACTTCTGAGAAAGGTTCCGTGTGAACCTTCTTTCTGTCAGCACCTGTCGATTTCACGTCATATCGAGTCAAAAAAACCTGAACTATTTCGCAACAAAAACCGAGGTTGGATACATTTTTGTTTTTTTTTTGTCTGCAAATGATCCAGGCACTATTTGATGCGATCTACCATGTAAGTAAATATGGGCCAGTACAACTTCTTTCCCCTAACACCTATTCTGTAGTTTGCCGCACATTGATCCTGAATATTTGCCCATATTTTCATTGTACTTACATATACAATTTGGACGGTTTATTATAAGTAATAAGGTTTATTATAAGTATGAAAATAATTATAGAATGAGCAAATAGATATCACATTCCTCTATATATGGCGTTCATAGGTTTCAAAAAGGCTTTCGATAGAGTCGAACATTGGGCAGTGAAAAGTTCTTTAATTAACAGCAGAATTGACCACAGATATACTAAACTAATAGCTAATATATATATAAGGAAACCAAAACAATAATTAAAGTATATGAAGGAACAAAATCAATACAAATAAATAGAGGCGTGAAACAGGGTGATACCATATCACGGAAACCTTTCAGTCAGGCTCTTGAAGATACTTATAAAAGATTAGAATGGGAAGAAAAAGGTATAACAATTTGTGGACAACGTTTGAACCATCTAAGGTACGCTGATGATATTGTATTAATAACTGATAAAAAGGAAGAATTATTTGAAATGATGAAAGAACTGGACATAGAAGCTGGAAAGATAGGCCTTAATATGAATTACAGCAAGACCAAAACCATAACAAATACAGCTGAAGACATCACAATGAGAATCGGACAAGATGAAATAGAACAAGTTGAGGATTATATATATATATATATATATATATATATATATATATATATATATATATATATATATATATATATATATATATATATATATATATATATACATATATATATATATATATATATATATATATATATATATATATATATATTTATATTCTTAAATTACATTCTTAAAAACAAAAGATATTCACAGCATCTTGAGACCAAAGTATACAATAAACGCGTACTCCCTGTTTACAAAAGCAAACATGGACAAAATCAGAAAAACCCAAAGAGCAATGGAAAGACAAATGTGGCACATAGGACTAATGGATAAAAAGAAAAACGAGTGGATCAGAGAAAAAACAAAAGTGAGGGATGTTAGACAAGAAGTTGCAAAATTGAAATGGAGATTTGCCGGACACAATATAAGACAAAAAGAAGACCGATGTAACAAAATTGTTATAAGTTGGAGGCCGTGAGAATATAAACGAAGCAGAGGAAGGCCCCAAATGAGATAGACAGATGATATCAAGAAGCACGTGGACTCTAGGTGGATGACTGTAGTGACAGACAGATAAGAATGGAAAAGGATTGGGGAGGCCTATGTCCAAAGATGGACCGAAGAGGGTTAATTAGATAGATAGATGTTCTGAGGTATCACTGGATTTATTAGAGAAGAATGCTTTATTTGTCATTTTAGCAAACAAATTATAATAAGTCAACAAATTATCAAAGGGTATTAGTATCGATGAAAAGATATTCAATCATCTCAGATATGCCGATGATATTGTTCTCATAACAGACAACTTGGGAGAAGCCAGAGTTATGCTACAACAACTACAGTAAGTAACCCAGAAAGTCGGTTTAAAGATAAACTATGGAAAAACAAAAATGATGACCAAACTTGTCCCCAGTGAGCTCATAGAAATCGAAAAGTTGCCCATAGAACTTAAGGAAAAATATGTATATGGACCAGCAGAAGGATGTGTTGGTTGTAGATTTACATTGTCATCACTAGCTTCAATATGTTTGTTATTGGTTAATTTTAGCTCAGCACCATCTTGCAATTGACAACCAGTTAAATTATTTATTATGAGGTTATCTGTTTCATCCCCTGAATCTTCATCCTTGTCAACAGATGGATTAGGTGGCTTTATGAATATTCCTTTTAGTTCATTAGCGATATTTTTATTATGATATAACATATCTAGAGCTTCCGATAGTGAAAATTCACGGCTGTAAAAAAATTATCATAAATTATAAAATTGATGATAAACTCCCAGTGATACCATATGGTATCACCATCATATTTATGGTAAGATATTAGAAAAGTGTCTCAATAAATTTAAATTTGACAGAAAGGATATAAACATTTGTTTTATTAACCGTAGATTTTTTACAAAATATCGTTAAAATTTATTATATAAATAAACAAAATTCACTTACGCAAAATGCAAGTTCATTTTCATGCATCGACAGATCAAATTTTTTAAAAAATCACACTTACTCTGCAAATCTTACAAACGAACTTGGACTAGGTTTATGTTTTTACAGTTCATTAATTTAATAATTTTTAGACAAGTTTATCGTACTCCTGGATATAAAACAAGAATAGCTTATACAAGAACGGATTGTCACTTGGAAAAATGCCACACTTTTCAATACTACTGCCATCATTGTCCAGATCCCAATAAGGATAACTTTAATATACAGGCAGTTCGTAGAATATGCCAACCTTGTTATTATTTATAAAAATTAGGTTATGTTAAAAAATTAAATTGGTGTATTTTTTTTTTGTTTTATTTAATATAAGGCAGTTTTATAATGGAAGCAATTATTTAGCAATGCAAACCGTTTCTTTTACAGTTAAAGAAAATAAAACCACAATTTAAATACTTAAACACTTAATCTGGTGCGCAACTTCTAGTCTTTAATCTAGACAAACTACTTAGTGAAAATATTAAGATCCAGCTTACAGCAAGGGAGCGTAAACCTAGCTCACCTACAATAAAAAAGCGAAACTGGACTGAAAATAAATGAAAACCGAAAAAGCGGGTGCAATGTACTTAGCAATTTTAGAAGTTATAAATATCGATAATAATAAACATACTAAAGCTAAGAACACTAAAGTATATTTCGCGTATTTTGGACTATTTTAGGGATGAAAGCTTTGATGACCGTGCTGGTCTTAGTTTTCGTAGAGGAGGAGCTCTGAACTGAGTAGGGGCTCTTCTGTACTCCACGGAAGACAGACTGGATGGGGGATCCTCAACCTCGACACGGCATGTCCCATATGGCTGATAGGGAAAGTTCCTGCAGATATACGGGACAGGTACGAATAAGGCATTGCCAAATAAGTACCCGCGGATCAACTGAGGATATGACATTAGGCAGCAGTAATGTCATTACTGGATTTAAGGCTATGGGAAGTAAAAATCCTGTAGGCTTAATTCCAGATACTCACAGGCGTCACTCACATTATGAGTTAAGCGGCTGTGATACTGCGACAACAGCGGCGTCTGACCCAGAGTGGGCGGCTGAAACGGAAACCTTGCCAACACGCAGTGGCTCGCGTGGCATTGAACTTAGCCAAAAACCCTTACAAATGTCAAATTTTAAAACAAAACGGAAACTTCCCCAGGTAAGTAGACACTCTCACACTGATGTATCAGTCTGTCCCAAGGATTCTGGGGGGGACACAAATTTGACAAGAGCATGCTTTAAAAAACAAACAGTTTTCAAAATTGCAACCATGAATACTAGAACTCTACTTTCTAATGAAAGCTTTAAAGAAATGGAAGAAGAATTAGAAAAGATCAGATGGGACATCGTCGGAGTTAGTAAAGTGAGAAGGCGAGGTGAAGGCCTCGAGCCCCTTAAATCCGGTCACTTGTTTTACTATCACGGAGAACAACATAAGTCAGTAGGAGGCGTCGGATTCTTTATAAATAAACGGCTAGCAGGAAATCTAAAACTGTCCAATCAGTATCCACTAGAGTTACATATGCCACCTTTAAAATAAATACTAGATATAATCTAAAAGTTATCCATGCTCCAACAACAGAATATACAGACGAGGAGATTGAAGTCTTTTATGATGATTTAAGTACAGCCATCACAAACAACCGCTCACATTTCACAGTTATATGTGGAGACTTTAACACCAAAATAGGAATAAAACTGGATCCAGCAGAAACTGCTCTTGGAAATTTTGGAAGTCAGGGACGGAACGACCGTGGCGACACTCTTTTAAACTTCCTACTAGAGAAAAACCTATTCCTAATGAACAGTTACTACTACAAGAAACCTCACCGCAGATGGACGTGGAAAAGCCCAGATGGGAACACAACAAACGAGATCGATTACTTTATCACTGATAAAAGATACATATTTACAGATGTGACAGTGCTAAATAAATTTGCGAAATCAAGCGACCATCGTATGGTGAGAGCCACCATTGTGTTAAATACCAACTATGAACGACACAATATGATAAAAAAAAGCAAATAAACAGATGGACACATCCAAACAACAAACAAAATTTTGAAGATCATATCGGTAAATTCCTTCAAGAAAAATCATCAACAAATGATATTAACATTCTAAATGACATAATAGTAGAAGCAATAATAGAAGCTCAAAAGAAATGCTGCCCAAAAAGCGTGAAAGAAGAAAAAATTTGTCTGGAAACACAGAAAAAAATGGAACAAAGAAGAATACTGAGAAGCGACGAAAACTCTAGTAACGACGATATAAATAGAATGAACAAAGAAGTATCAAGAGAAATCAGAAAAGATTTAAGAACATACAAAGATGAGAAAATCATCAAAACCATTGAGGAAAATAAGAGTATGAAAATAATGAGACGCAAACTCACAAATGGAAATAAACAAATAGTCAAACTCAAGGATAGAAATGGCAATCACATCAAACAGAGAACATTTGTTACAAATTGTGGAATCATTCTATGACACATTATATAGCAACCAATCGACTTTAGATATAGTCGAATATCAACAGAGGAAGGTTCAAAATCAGGGTTCCGAAGATATTCCAGAAATCTCCTTGAACGAAATTTACAAGGCCTTAAAAAAGATGAAGAATAACAAAGCTCCGGGGGAGGACGGTGTCGTCACGGAAGCGATAAAGATAGGAGGCTCAGTACTGATAGCCAAAATTCAAAAGCTCTTTAATCTATGCCTATGGAACGAAAATCTCACAACAAAGTGGAATAATTCAATAACTGTACTCTTACACAAGAAGGGAGACATAGCAGACCTGGAAAGATACAGACCAATTAGTCTCCTTACCCATCTTTATAAATTATACACCCGAATAATAACGAATAGATTAGAGACAAAGCTGGATTTTTACCAACCTCGGGAACAAGCTGGTTTCCGCCCTAATTACGGCACAAACGATCACCTGCAGTGCCTAAAAACCCTAATAGAAAAAACTAACGAATATAACCGTCCCTTGGCATTGATATTTGAAGACTTTAAAAAGGCGTTTGATACAGTGGAACTACCGTCCATCTTAAGAGCACTACAAGATTGCAGGATCGACCGCAGATATTGTAATATAATTAAAAATTTATATGAAAATGCCACAACAACCATAAGTCTATATTCTGCAACTAATAAAATAAAGATAAAAAGGGGAGTCAGGCAAGGTGATACCATGTCACCAAAACTGTTCATTACCGTTCTTGAGTATGCATTTAAAAAACTAACATGGCAACAGAAAGGAATATCCATCGATGGAGAAAGATTAAACCATCTACGTTTTGCGGACGATATCGGGCTTCTGTCAGATAATCTGGGAGAGATCAAAGACATGCTCCAAGTACTGAATGACATACTACAAGAAACTGGGCTGGAGATAAATTTCGAGAAAACCAAAATGATGACCAATATGGTTCCTAGTGAAGAGATACAGATCAATAACAACAAGGTAGAATTAATCGATAAATACACATACTTGGGTCATGAAATTAGAATAACCAGAGACAACCAAACCTGCGAGCTAAATAGACGAATCATGTTGGGATGGGCGGCATATGGACGGATGAGAGACATTTTTAAAACAAATATCCCAATTCACCTGAAAAGGAAAGCATTTAACCAATGCATCTTACCAGTCTTGACCTACAGAGCAGAGACCTTAACTTTAACGAAAGCTACTGCCGAAAAACTGAGGGTAACACAAAGGCGAATGGAGAGATCAATGCTGGGCCTGACCTTGAAAGATCGCGTAAGAAATGAGGAGATACGCCGACGAACTGGCGTAGACGATATTATACTGCGAATCAATAAACAAAAGTGGAGGTGGGCTGGACATGTTGCTAGAATGGAAGACGGAAGATGGACGAAGAGATTATTGGAGTGGAGACCAAGAGCCGACAAGCGAAGTCGAGGCAGACCACCCACCCGATGGACCGACGACCTAAGGAGGATAGAAACAAACTGGATTGCAGCAGCTAGAGATAGAGAGAACTGGAGACGTTTGGAGGAAGCCTATATCCAACAATGGATGTGAAAATTCGGCTGGATGATGATGAAAGCTTTTACTAAAAGCTCCGCTGTGGTGATAAAGTTAAAGTAATAACAAATTCTCGAAATAGTTAAAACACTTTTGAAACCAAGTTAAAATACGGTTTTAATTTTAGAATAGGATTTTAAAATAGTAGCAAAACTTTAAAATAAGACAAAGCCACACAATTTTTGCGAAAAACAACGATTTGCATAAAAATTTGGGTTTAAGTTCCTACTTCTTACCCCTCTTATCCTCTACTTCAAAATATTGATTTAGATGAATTAAACTACTCTAACTATAATAATTGACTATATTATACCTTTAAAAACTCATTTTTATGGGTGAAAACTACTCCTAATTGCTCAAATTTATAAAAAAAAACTTAAGGAGGATAAAATTGAGATCGGATAATATAGGTTATATTAGTTTGGTATCCTTAATATATTTTCTGAATATTTCAACCCTTTCAAATTTATTTTTTAAAGGAGGAAACTTCCATACTTCATAAAAAATTGAGTATATTAGAATTAGCTTTGAAAAATAGTGAAATAGACGCTGAACCTGGTAAGTAATTATCATAACCATACTTTTGTTAGTAAAAATAAGTATTCTATATATTATTATAGATATGGAACAAAATTTATTTTCTGGCGAGATAGAAAACTTATGCATTGTTGCAAAATATTTTGATGTCTCTTTGTCATTTTGAAAAATATATGATGACATTCTTATTCAACATGGCAATTATTTAATTGAATTTAAAAGAAACTTACGGCCTAGTTGTAGTAAATTTTTTCTTCTATTTTGATAGTTGCGGTGAAATAAACAAAAATAGAATATCGAAATACAAATAATATAAATATTTAAGCCTTTGTAAGTCAAATGTCATACCTGAAATTTATTACCGTTACTATCCCTAGACAATTAAAATTTTGTGACCCTAAAAATATTTCACATTCACAAATATTACAACCATGGACGTATAAACACAGATGGACACAGCAATAAGACTTTAACACACAATGTTTTGAAGCTTCGATAGAATGTGATGCTTCTTCAATGAGCATAAGTGTGCTTGAATTTTTAGTCGCGGGGATAATTATTCAGACTTTAAAAATTGGAAGTAGTAATAATGTATAATAACACGTTCAAAGAATTAAAAAAAACTAGAGTTTAACTATTAACAAATCACGTCTTAATAGAAAAATTAAAATACCTATGTAAAGTTAGTAGTTCTTAATCCCATACCATTGCATAGTAAATGTAAACTTCCTATTTTATACATACTTTTAAAAATGTCGTTCCCCTTAGATTTGGCATATAAACTATTGTATCATTCTGGTATTATGTGAAATAAAAAAGTTTATTTATAAAAAGCAATATTTATTTAAAATCCAATATTAATATTTAATTTTGTGTTTAATCACAGATTGTTTACTTAATTACTAAATGTTTTCTCTATAAACGTATATATATCTTTAGCCAAAACTGTTGGCGTCTCTAAAGCAGGAAAATGTCCTCCTTCATAATAAGTCAAGTGAATCAAATTAGGATATTTTTCTTTTAAGATATCTTCGGAGAAGAACATCACTTCGTATCGAAATCTCGCACAGCCAGTGGGCACATTAATTGGTATTCTGAAAGAAAATTGTTACAACTTAAACAATAAAGTGACGTATTTTTGTAAATCTAATTTTACCGCAAAACAGTATAGAGAAATTACAAAAAACTTACATAAATTATATTTTGTATATAAGAGCTTTTAATAAAGCTCTTATAATATAGTATGCGTAGCATACTGAGCTACGAATTTTAATTACTGCTTACATGTAAATGATATGTACGGTAAAAAATAATTTTAAATTTAAATTTGAAGTATACAGTACTATGAAAATTGCCATGTGAAAAAAGACAACAATAATACTGTTCAAAGATAACAACGATATATTAAACATAAAATATTACGGAAAAATACAGAGCAGAGCAATCTTTCAGGGATGACCATTTTAATCAATAAGCAAGACAATAGCAATCCCAAAACTACCAGAGCTGGTAGTCTAGTAACAAATTCCCTGAAGATGTGTTATAAAGAATTTTAGACTTATATTCTTGCTTAGTTTACCTCATATTTGCTGAACACATCGTTATTATAGCGCACATCGTAATATTAGCGGAAATTACAAATTATGGCTAAGGACCAATTTGGTACCCAACCAGAACATCAGTATTGGTGGGAAAGAAATAGAACTCGTAGATAGATATAAATACCTGAGACATGAAATTATGCTTGGCAGGGATAACCAGACTCATGATTTCAAGAGAAGAATCGGCCTTTGGTGGGCAGCATTTGGAGAGAAACTTTTAAAAGTGAGCTGCCCACATGCCTAAAGGGAAAGGTATTTGATCAGTGCGTCCTCCCAGTCTTGACGTACGGAGCAGAAACACTTACCTTAACAAAAGCAGCAGCTACCAAACTGAGAGTCACGTAGAGAAGAATGGAGCGGTCCATGTTAGGAATAACTCTGCTAACCAGAGAGCCGATAAATTATAGTGTAAATCAAAATTTTAACTGCGGCAAGTTTTTAATTGGTCACACTCATGACCAATGTCATGACTATTCTGACAACTTTATGTTGAAACAACATAATACTCAGACATACTACATTTAGAAAACACGTCAAGTTGCGCAACTACAGAATGAGAGTATAAATAGTAATATTACATTAACACTGTCACTGTAACAGTAGTCACGTGATAGAAACTATTAAACAGCGGTACAGGTCTGATGAAGTGCCCTAATCTGACCATCGACAAATTTATTATGAAAGAAAAGGACGGTAACAAATTTATTTGTGCAGTGTATTCACATTATGTATGATTCTAATAAAGACACAATAGTTTACCTTTCTATTCTTAGTTTATCACGATTGTCCTCGTGAAATAGTTCAGCATAAATTCTCATAGAAGTAGTGATTGATCTTGACATCCAGTATACCATTATATTATCAAGAAGTTGAGTGTATGTATATTTTTCGACAAGTCCGCCATCTTCGAGGTCTTTGTACGTCGTGTTTGTTAACGTTATAAACTTTTCCAGTAGGTAGGCAGCCAGCCCTGTTGGACTTTCACGCAGAGCAACACCTTCAAAATATTAGTACAATTGAACAGATAGTATAAAATAAGATTTATTGTAAAATAAATAGTCCAATCAGGTTGGACTAAAAAAGGTCTAACTTCGCATGACAAGTTGACCTAAATTTTATTATTTTAACCAATATTTAAGGTCGTAAGCCTAATGAACCCTAGACGGTGACATCATCAGCAGCAAGACATCAACAGGAATAAACCTACGACTGTAAGTATTGATTTTAGCAATAAATTAAAGAGATCAAAATTGTATAAAATATAATTATGTTTATTTTTGCTTATGTATATTTATGTCGTTATTATTAAACGAGATAATTCAATAATTACACTTCCACTCCTTCCTCCACTATGTCTTCCCGTAACCGCAAAATATCACGAATATAGATAGCACGAAAATAATTCTTGTGAAAAAGAAATTGTAGGAAATAACATTTTCAACCATTCTAGCCTTCTTCTTTAAATAAAATTGGAATTAGAATAGGATGTCATATTTAAACTTGCTGGGAAAGGCACCTTTTTACCCCAAATTTCATCTCTTATTTTTTTTAATTACTTCCACCTTTTTTTAATGATATTTGGATTCTCCTCCAAATATCATTAAAAAAATTTAACTGATTTCAGATGCTTAACGAGAGAGTTTAAGAAAACTGTTTTTAAAAAAGAGTATTTTTTAACAATTTTATTAATTACAAAAATTTATAAAAAACATTTCGCTACCAAAAATGTTTACAATAATTGTTTAAAATGACTCTCATTTGCTTTTATACAATGGTACACTCTATTTTAAAAATTTTCCCTGACATTACTACCACATCTGCATTAATTGTCGACATTCATCGTCTATTATTTGTTGTAAATTATCCAGAAATTTTGGTTGAGTAGCATAAACCTTTGTTTTTAAATACACCCACAAGAAGAAGTCTACGGTGTCAAGTCTAGTCTTAAACCCGGTGACCTAGGCGGCCAATCCATCGTCTGTCCTGTACTACCGATCGAACAAGCAGAAAAAGTTTCGTTTAAAAATTGTCGCACAGGTAGATCAAAGTGTGGAGAAACTTCATCATGTTAAAATATAACCAAATCTTCGAAAAGGTTATTATCAATCTCTACTATTTTTCTTATACGATCAACCACTTGCCTATATAAGATACGATGCACCATTTAAGTTTCCAGTGATAAGTAAGGGTTCGCTAATGTTATCCCTAAGTTTAACCTTTGAGGATGCTGTGTGTGAAAATCACGCAGAATATGTGGATCACTCTCAGCCCAGCATCGGCTATAATGCTAAAAAGCAAATATTGCTTAACAATTATGGATTGTGTTTAATTAATTTTGAATGGATGAAACTTAAATTTATGGAAGATTCGGAAGGCTGTAGAAGGTGAAACACCGATTACTCTGCATATTGTTAACAGTGAATGTGATTGCTCAGCCTCTAAGTTAAATTGCCCTAAAACGAATACGAAAAAGAAGAACAGCAATGTATAAAGAAGATGGGAATGTACGGAGGATCAGACGTTGACTCAGATCATTACATGTTGGGCATCAAAATTAAGCAACTGATACCAGAAAACAAAAACAAAATAAAAGAAAAAAAATGTATAAATAACCCAATACGATTAACAACAAAGAAAAATCAGGAAAGTTACGAGGAAACAATGGAAAGAGAACTAAAAAAGATACAAATAGAAGAGCAAACTAAGAACAAATGGGAAAACATAAAGTAAGTAATCAATAAAGAAGCAAAAGAATGTTATAAACAGAAAAATAAAAAAGGAAAGACTCATTCGACATAGAGTGCCAAAAATAAAGAGAACTAAGAAAATCATTAAGGATAAAAATGATCACGAAAGAAACAACAGATAGATATATGGAGCAAAGACAGAAAGTGAAGAATATGCTGAGAGGAAAGAAAAGAAAATACATAAAAAATAACTGAAAAGAAATAGAAGAGAATTACAGAAATAAAGAAATTAAAAACATCAAGGTGCTAGAACTGAAAAAAGAGGTTTCCAACAAAAACCCATATTCTTCAAAAAGAAAGCAGGAAATAATATAAGCGGTGAAGCAGGAATAGTCGAAAGATGGAAAGAGTATTTTGAATAATTACTAAATGGCAATACTAGGTCAAACCAAAGAGAATATATGGAAGCAGAAGCAAAAATCGAACACTTAAAAGACAGAAGATAATTTACCAAGCAAAGGATAAATCCAGAAAATCATAAAAAATATGAAAAACAATAAATGCGCTGGAAGCGATAACATAACAGCAGAGATGATGGAATGTGGTGGAAAACTGCTAAATGATTGGATATACAGGATCACAAAGGAGATATGGATAAAATAACGAATACCGGAAGACTCAAAGGAAGAAATTATTTGTCAAATAAAATGAGACAAAACAGAATGTAGTAATTACAGAAGAGTAGCGTTACTAAAAACCGTAAATAAAATCCTATCAAAATCCATAAAAGATAAGCTAGAAAAAAAATTTGAAAACAGAAACAGAAGCGAATATCAGTACGAATTTAGACGAGGGAGAAGCCCAATGGATCAAGTATTCGTAATCAGAGAATAACAAGCAGAAAGCTGTGAACACAACTTACCAACGATAATGCTATTCATCGACTTCTAGCAAGCGTATGATAGAATAAATAATTAAAAGAGACCCTTGAGGAAATGGGAGTTAACAGAAAGTTATATAACATGATACATCTAATTTTAGAGAATACAGAAAACAGAGTAAAAGTAAACAATCATTCATCGGACAAATTTATAGTAACCAAAGGATTAAGGTAGGGTGATTCTTTATCATCATTACTCTTTAATTTATATATAAAAAAAATAATGGGAGAAGAGAAAATCAATAGAGAAGGACTTCTATGTCATAAAAGACACCATTTTTTGGCATTTGCGGATGATATGGTGTTGCTGGCAAGAGGAAAAAAAGAGCTACGGGAGATAGTACAGAGATTAGTTAAAGCAGCGAAGAAAATGGGACTTTACATAAATGAAACTAAAACTGAATGTATGCAGTGGACGGATAATCAGTTGGGGGATGGACAAAAGTTTAAAGTAGAAGTAGAAGAAGAATCATCATACAAATTAGAAATGGTAAAAAGATTTAAATACCTAGGTGCAATAATATCACGTAAACCTAATATTAAAAAAGAAATAAAAGCTAGCGTAATGGCAGGCAATAGAAGTGTACATGCTCTTAGCGGAATGTTGAAAAGTAAGTTTTTATCAAGAAAGCCAAAAATACAGTTATACAAAACAACTATACAACCAATACCAATATGTCCCACTGCAGTGAGACATGTACAATGATAAAAAATCAACAAAATTTACCGGGAAAGGAAAATCCTGAGGAAGATATATGGAGAAATAATAAGGGACGGTTTATAGATACCAAGATAAAATGATGAGTTAAAGGAATTTTATAATCAACCTAATATAATAGCAGTCATAAAGGCATATAGACTAAGATGGCGAGGTCACCTAGAAAGGATGTCGATCACGAGGACTCCAAAAAAGGTACTAATCTACACTATAGTTACAAAAAATAGAAAACTAAGGCCAAAAAATAGATGGATTCGTTATTTACGAGTCCCTGTTAAGGGAAGGTTAAGTTTTTTTATTTCAAACTTGCCCTGTTGCTCAATCATAAATACTTATGGGTTACATGTCTAATGTGGTGTGTTTCATAAAAAAATCTAGCAGCAGCTTTTGCACAATTTTTATTTTTATAGTAAAAACCTACAATTTCGATTCTTTCTTGAAAAGTGCAATCAAAGAAAAAATTGTCTCTCATAAACTAGTAAGTTTAAATATGACATAATGTCTCTCCCTTTAAATACTGTTACTATAAAATGAAACCTTCAATAATAGCCGATTTTTGGATAATCCTTTAAATGACTAATATTTTGGTATCATACAATATGCCTCTTTTTTCTAATATTACTTACATTACTACTTACCAATTGTGTCAGGTTTGGTTGCCTGAATATGGAAATATCCGCTTTCGACAAGAAGATAAGTATATCTCTTTGATAACGGAAACATAATTTCTTCTTCCAACTTATTCACAAATAGCGATGGATACAAACTGTATATAAACAGTTTTAAATTTGATAATGCGGTGTCGATCACGCAAAAATTTGAGTGGAATGCGATGATATGCTGAGGAAATAACACTGACATATGTTGAGCAATAACGCTACCCCAGTCAGTACCGTGGAGGTAAAATTTTTGGTGACCAATCTTCAACATAAGGTTTTTCAAAATGACTGCCATATGAAATGCACCTAACCCAGGCTTGTTCGTGGCTTCTGAGAAGCCAAATCCTAAAAAAAATTTTAAATATAATTAGTATATAAGCTTCTTAATATACAGGGAGTCGCAGAAAAAGTCCAGTCTAGATTGTGTTCTTATTGAAGGAAAAACCAAATAATTCTTGGATTCTTGGCAAGCTTATTTTTAGCAGTATGCATTTTGTAAATACATATAATCATTCTCAAATTTTGACTACTAAAAAATGGCCTTCATATCAAAAGTGTTAAACAAACAGAAAAATATACCGTGTGATATTATAATTACAAAGAATATTAGTTTACCTTTTTATTAGTATTTTGTATTTTTTATTGTCCAAAAAATCTGTAGAAATATGCACAACATAAATTTAACAATTTTGAGGTTAGTTTTCACAGGCTCAAAGTATACCCAAAACACGTTGTTAGGGTTACTTTGCTCCGTTAGACTGGAGTAAAGTAACCCAGAAACACGTTTTTGGGTCGACTTTGCTCCGAGGTAAAGTAACCACAAAATATGTGTGAATTGTCTTTGTTAATTATTTATCAGTTTTTGAGTAAATTTTTATCGGTACTAATGTTTTAAAATGAAAATATTCATGACCAAAATCAATATATAGAAAGTAATCTTATGTTTTGTTTCAGATATGCCCAGAAACTATATTAGAAGGCCTGGATCAAGAAGTATGCAGACTACACTGAAGCAGGAGAAATTTCACACCGAGAATCAGAGAAAAATACAACATATCAAGAAGAACAATTTTAAATAAACTTAAAGGACGATAACTTCAAAAACCTGAAAAACAGCCCATATTTTCTTCTTAACTTCTTCTTAAATTCGATAGGAACTTTCTTCAAAAGTTCCTATCGAATTACTTAAAATTGTGAATACTGAATCTATTGATCTTCTTTTGGATCTATTCAATACCATATATAGAACAGGTGTAATACCTAAAGAATGGCTCCAGTCAACATTCATACTGCTTCACAAAAAAGCCAATGCAAAGGAGTGCAATGAACATCGCACCATAGCCTTAATGAGTCATGTCTTGAAATTGTTTTTAAAAGTAATTCACAATAGAATACATAAAAAATTAGATGAAGGCATAAGTAATACACAAATGGGATTTACGAAAGGACTGGGAACACGAGATGCACTGTTTGCAGTAAGTGTTCTTTCGTAGAGATGCTTAGATATTAATCAGGAAATATATGTCTGTCTCATTGATTTTGAGAAGGCATTTGACAGAGTGCAGCATAATCCACTTAAAGAAATTTTATTAAATAAAAACATAGACAGTAGCGACATTAGAATCATCTGTAACCTCTATTGGAATCAAACAGCAAAAGTGAAAGTTGAAAACGAAGTGACCAAGGATATCCAGATTCGCCGTGGGGTCCGCCAAGGGTGTATTTTATCACCCTTGTTATTCAATTTATACAGTGAAGCCATCTCAGAATTAGCGCTTGCCGAGATCAGTGAGGGCCTTATAATAAACGGTGAGCCACTTAATAACATAAGATATGCTGACGACCCCGTCCTTCTGGCAGAAACACTAGAAGAACTGCAACACCTTGCTGAACAACTAAATATATATTGCAACGATTATGGACTAAAAATCAATTTGAAGAAAACCAAGTTCATGGTATTTACAAAAGCACAAAACATCAAAGTTAAGCTAGTACTAGATAATACAGAAATTAAACAAATATCTTCGTACAAATACCTTGGAGCATGGATCACAGAAGATACTGATCAGACAAAAGAAATAAGATGCCGCATTGAAATTGCGCGGTGAACTTTTATTAGAATGACAAAACTTTTTTGTAACCTCGATATCAATATATCGCTCCGGATAAGAGTGGTTCGATGTTATACTTTCTCTACCCTTTTGTATGGAGTTGAAGCTTGGACACTTAAAAAATCCAACATTAAAAACCTAGAAGCATTCGAAATGTGATGTTACCGACGTATTTTGAAAATATCATGGATGGATCGCAAAACAAACGAACAGGTTCTCGAACAACTAGGAAAACAATGCGAAGTTTTAAATTCCATAAAAATCAGGAAATTGGAATACTTGGGGCACATCATGCGAGGAGAAAATTATGAACTACTAAGGAATATAATGCAGGGTAAAATCAAAGGTAGAAGAAGCGAAGGAAGACGTAAAATCTCGTGGCTACGCAATCTCCGTGAATGGTTTGGATGCAGTTCAATTGAACTATTTAGGCGAGTAACCAATAAAATTATAATTGCCAGAATGATTTCCAATCTCCGATAGAAGTGGAACTTGAAGAAGATGAAGAAGGATAGATCACACAACAAATGTCGAAGTAATAAATTGAATGGGTAGATCGAGCATTGCTGCCAATAATAAAAAGAAGAAAAACTGTTTATCTGGATCATATATTTCGAAATTCCAAGTACCAGTTCTTAAAGCTTATTATGAAAGGGAAGATAGTAGGAAAACGGAGCATCAGAAGAAAGAAATACTCATGGCTTAAAAACATAAGAGATCTGACAAACCTCGATGCTCATGCACATTTTAGAGCCACACAAGATCGATTGTCGCCAACATCCACTAATTGAGTAGTGCACCATAAGAAGATACATTTATAGACCCCTTTTATCTGCTACTTTAACTTCAATAAATAGTCGAGTTTTGAAACCCGTACCATAACCAAATTATTTATTATGTTTTTAGTAGAATTCAGTGTACAGTACTTTTTGTGTTTTCTCATTGATAAAAAAATTAAATTAAATCAGCTTTTCCTATAATTTTAGTACAAAATGATCTCTCCTAGTAGTGATACTTAAATATTTAAACATAGCTCTGAATATGGCTTTGTAATTCGAAAGCCCTCAGCTAGCAATTAAAATTGTTTACACACTTATATTTTCCTTTTTCTATCTTTTGTTTTGTCTTAAGTGTGTACAAAAACATGTCAGCCTTTTTATTCAGATATAATTGGTTATGAATATTATGGACTTCAAATTAACACACAAAAGATCAAGGTGATGATTATTGGCTGAACAAGGAATAAGAACTTTAGCAGGATAAAAAATGGTCGAAGTAATTTTAATTACTTGGACAACGATTCAAAAATATTTGATAAGGTCCACTCCTAACATCTACAAAAACTCATATTTTAGGCAAGTATTTGCTGAGATATGTTTGGACCATTCTTTTAACCTAAAACTTGGAATAGGTTAATGTATTTGGATTTGTTTTAAAATTTCAATAATATCTCTTTAACAGACATAATTAAACAAGATGACTGTTATCAAAAAAAAAAAAAAAAAATCGAATTTGCAACAAAACGGCATTTCAACTATAGATCAGAAGGAGGGAATTACTGCATACCCTGCATATTCACCAGATTTGTCTTCATTTGATTTTTATTTGGGGTCATTAAAAGACAAAAAAAATATGCAAAATACTTGCGAAAACACATCGTACAAGAGAACATCGTTAAATAATATTACTCCCAAAATGTTCAGGAGTATGGCTTAGGCAATATTTCTTTGACGGGATTGGACAAGTCATTAACACAAAACAAAGCAAAAACGCATATTAAATAAACTAATCCCAACATTCTAAAGAAGTAATAACCTAAAATAAAGCAGCAATTTGTCTTTGAAAAGGTGAATAGGTATTATGTATGACCATTGAGATACAAAATAATAAAAAAATGACATTGAGATTGGTATCCGGCATAGTAATCTCTATGTTGCATATGAAACCTTAGATGATTTCTTACATATGTGTATGGTGGAAGCAAAGGAGAGTTAATTACTGACTTTTACATGAATAAGTCTAAAATCAAATGGTTTATTAGCTACCTGATAAGTAATAATTGTGGTTACCTGGTAAAGAAGGTATAATTAATTCAAAAACAAAATCTCTTCCTTCTTGCGGCGTGGTTAACAAAGGAACAATATCGTAAAACTCCCGTACTGATCCAACCCACCCATGCAGCATTATCATCGGTAACACTTTCAAACTTGTCGATACCTTTGGCTTAATGTGAACAAAATGCACGTCTAGACCTTGAATATTAACGAGGTAGTGAAGGTACTGGTTAAAAAACGTTTCTCGTTCTTTCCAGTTATAGTTTGTTCTCCAAAATTCAGTTATATTTTGAAGGAGGTTAGTATTCATGCCATAATGTTGTTTGACTCCATCCAATGGTCTTTGAAAAGGTAATGTATGTTTAAGTCGATAATTTAAATCTTGAAGATCCTGAAAAATAAGCACAGTGTCTATAAAAAAAAAATTTAGTGTAGTATAGAAATATTAGACATACTAAAGAATTGATAAATTAAATTATTCTATAAACGGGAAAAAAGTCAATATTCATCTATATATTTTATTTATCATGACAAGAACCCTCAAATCAATGCCCTGACCCGGGAAGGTATTGGATCACCAGAGGGTGCTAAGAATCCCACGACTTGATATGATGAAGATAAAAAAAATATAAATTGAAACATGGGACACTAAGGACACTCTTTACAGTAAGAAAACTTAATAATGTGGTTCAGGCACATCGAGATATTATTATTATTATTTCGAGAGACTTACACGAATCCATGAAATAGGATAGTGCACAGCCACCTTTACTTCCAAGCGATGGAGTAGAAATTTGGCAACAACGCGTAGTAGTCCGACCGTGGTTTGTTTTGTTTAACATTTCATATAGGAAGGCTTGTAAAGTTTGTTGAATTTAGTGTTTTTTTAACTTTATTCGAATGTTTTATTTGTAAATTGTGTTTAAATCAATTAGAAAATATTAGTATAAGTGAAATTTTATTAAATTTAAAACTTTTAGAAGATTCTTAACGACAATTTAAAAGGCAAGTATAAATATAACCTACAAAACAAACTAAAAATAATAATACTTTTGCTTCTTGTTACCAAATATGTAAACTAAAAACAACAATAATAATACTTTTGTTTTTTGTTACAGATGCCCTGGCATTGTTGTGTACCTGGTTGCAAAACCAATTACGCCAGTACTTTAAAAACGAAACAGGCAGAAAGTACGTTTTCGTTTCCCAAAGATCCCCAAAGAAGGTATACTGGGTTATGCTCTATTCATAGAGAAGGCTATACAATTACCAAATCTTCCGTAGTATGTGCCAAACATTTTCATGAAGATGATATTCAGCGGACTGAACAATGAGAAGATAAAGATGGAAATGTACACATTGAAAAGTTAATATTTCCCAAATTAAAAGGCAATGCAGTTCCTAATATATTTCCTGAAGTACCATCATATGTAACTGTTCATCGTACTAAAGAAAGAAGGAATCCTGAAGACAGAAGAAAGTTTTTGCATAAGAAGAGGGAACAAGCGATAACATAATTCTTAGACAATGATTTAATAGATTCGTTTGAATCATTTTTAAGAGACTTAGACAATAATATCCCATTGAAAAACTGGACAAGTAAAATTACAAGTGACTGTGTATATTTCTATGTATTAAACATTAATCAGTTGGGACAAAAGTGTGATAATATTTGTGTAATACTTAATGTAATAGTTAGTAGTAATTTTAGTGTAATCGTCAATGTAGGTAAGAATAGATTAAGTAGTAATGATTTGAAATGGATTTTACAATATAGTAAATTAACAAGATGGTCACAATTAGAGAAATTACTTTCTCATTTAGATCTGCTTTTTAGATAAATAACAAATTTGAGTATTACGTTCAAAAATCTTTTGAGAATATAGGCTATTTTAAATCGATATACAAGTTATAAATGGTATGTTACATTCAACACATTTTTCATGTAGGTATACCTCTTTTATCTTGGTCTATATGACAAAAAAAACCTATTCATATTTAAAATTGCTGCTTTCTTATACCTTAGTATGAAAATTCAACAAAAAATATAAGTAAATAATAAAATATTTAATTTTCAATTAGATTATTTTAGAACCATATTTATATTGTGTCTGATTTCTTAGGGTGAATTTTTTAATCATAATAGTTATACTAAGTTTTTACTTAACAAATACTTAACAAATTTTATATCTTTTGTATTTTTAATAATCTTTTTAAATGTATTGTGTTATTTATATGCTTAAGTACTTAATATTTAAAATTTCTAGAGATTCTTGACTGCATTTGATTGTAAGATTAACTGTTTAACACTGTATTTTAAGTGCAATAAATTTTACTCTAGTGATTATTTTATTGATAATATAACCTAAATAATAATAAAACTTTATATATATTTATGAGGTAAATATAACGTTTTATTAATTTAATTTCCCTAAAAATATTTCTGTAACGAACTGAAGTTTTCAAAATATCAGTTTCCTAAAATTCAAATTAGTTTAATTTTCTGGTAGACCTTACAGCTGATTATCGGACTACCGACGTCATAGAATGCGGTGTTGCCTTTTTTACTTCATGGCTTGGAAGTAAAGGTGGCTGTGGATAGTGGCATATTAAACGTGAAATAATGTTTTATTTTTGTTAAAGATAGTTGTTGAAGACTAATATATTATGTTTTAATTTTAAATTAATTGTAATTTGTTTAGTAAAAAAGAATAAATTAAACTACCGTAAAATTCGGTGAGACTGTTATCCCAGGGTGACATTGATCATTTGTCGTTGTATAACATATATGTATATACAACCGGCAACAATGTAAAATTGTTTCTGGACGTGACACTATTAATTTCTTGAATCTCGACTGGTCTGGGGATTTTTCCTTAGAACTGGGGAAAATTGGGAATCTTTGGGGACTGAGGAAAAACTTTTTTAAAATGACTCTTATCTGGGAATAGACTCATATAAATATTACCAACGAAATAATGAAAATTGGAACATGGAACGCTAACCTGCATGCATGAGCCAGGAAAAACACACAACGTTATTCAAGAAATGCAAAGAATGAATATTAGCATTTTGGGTATAAGCGAAACCCGATGGTCGGGAAATGGATGCTGTCATATTAAAGATCACATAATCTACTACTCCGGTAACCAAGATCCCCAACATCGTAATGGAGTGGGTATAATGTTAAAAAAGTCTTTATTTTGTCATGTCCTGAACTTCCTACCTTTGTCCGATCGTGTTATGATGTTATAAATAAATACAAACATCACAAAAATGAATATAATACAAGTATACGCACCAACAGCGGACAAAGAAGAACATGAAATAGAAACATTTTATGAACAAATTGACTCGGCATTGAAACTGACCAAAAAAAGGGACATCACAATAATAATGGGTGATTTGAATGCTAAAGTTGGGAAAGGAAGGACAGATGATTTGGTAGGAAATTTTGGATTATGGAATAGGAACGAGTCTGGTGAAAGACTGCTACAATTTTGCCAGGAAAACAAAATGGTAATTACAAATACCTTTTTCGAACTACCCAACAGACGTTTATACACATGGAGATCTCCACAAGACACAGAACATCACATAGTGAGAAACCAAATAGACTATCTACTAATCAATGAAAGATACAGAAACAGCATAATGTCAATTAAGACATACCCTGGTGCAGATATATCATCTAATCACAATCCACTAGTTGCAAGAAGGAAAATAAAACTAAAGAAAATTAATATCACAACCCCCAAAAAAGCAGTTGATATCAACAAATTACGAAAACCAGAAGTAAGAGAACAGATGATACAAGAAATTGATGAAGCAGTATCAAAGATACAACCGATAAAAGACAACACAAAAGTTAACATCAATGAGAATTGGATAGACATTAAAACAGCGTTAATGAAACCAAGCATAAGTCGCCTCCATAAAAGTGAAGAATATAAAAAAGAATGGATGACAGATGAGATACTGAACTTAATGGATGAAAGAGGAAAACAGAAAAACAAAAAGAACCAGAAGTATAAAGAGATACAAAAAAAATTCGTCTAAAAATACGCACAGCTAAAGAAAACTGGTACGGGGAAAAATGCGAAGAAATCGAACAACTACAAAATAAACACAACAGCTTTAATGCACATCGGAAGATCAAAGAGTTGACGAGGAGACAAAGTAACACACACCACATATTAGTAGACGAGAGTGGAAACATTATTATGGACACAGAAGAAAAATTAAGAGTCTAGAAACAATACATAGAACAACTGTTTAAAGATCAAAGAGACAATGTAGATAACGAATACATAAACAGTGACACAGGACCAGAAATAACAAGAGATGAAGTATTATACACGATTAAAGAAATGAGGTCGGGGAAGGCTACAGGCCCAGATGAACTACCAATAGACATAATTAAACTCATCAAAGGCAACAACTTAATAAAGATCGTGGAACGATTTAACAGCATTTACAAATCTGGTATCATACCTAATGAATGGCTAGTAACAACAATAATAGTCTTCTTAAAAATCATTCATCGGAGAATATATAAAAAATTGGAAGTTGACACCGAACCCTCTCAATTTGGCTTTAGAGACGGACTAGGAACTAGAGAGGCACTGTTTGCTTTTAATGTTCTAACACAACGATGCTTAGACGTAAATCAGGACATATTTGTGTATTTCCTAGACTATAACAAAGCATTTGATACAGTAAAACATAGGCCACTGATGCAAATACTGGAAAATAAAAATATTAATACAAGGGACATGCGAGTGATAAGGAATCTATACTACAAACAAGAAGCTACAGTACGAATTCACAGCTCGATATCAGATAGAATACAGATCAAAAGAGGTGTTCGGCAGGGCTGTGTGTTGTCTCCAACCTTGTTCAATGTCTACGCGGAAGAAGTTATTAAAAAAGCTCTTATGAACGAAAAAGCCGGAGTAAAGATCAACGGTCACCCATTTGCAGTATCCGATATGCTGATGATACCGTACTCATAGCAGAAAATATTGACGACCTACAGAGATTACTAAACAAAGTGGTAGAAGCAAGTGAAGAATTTGGTCTGTCACTGAATACAAAGAAGACCAAATTCATGATAATTACAAAGAAACGTATCAATAATATCAACTTACATGTAGGACAGAATCTCATTGAACGAGTACAAAATTACAATTACCTCGGAACAAATATTAACGACTCAAACTAATACACCAGACAAATAATAATAAGAATAGAGAAAGCCCGCAGTGCCTTTAACAATATGACACAAATGTTGTGTAGCCGTAACCTAAGCCTAAAGCTGAAAATACGAATGCTTAAATGTTATGTTTTTTCGGTCCTGTTATATGGGGTGGAGGCGTGGACACTAAATAAGCAATGTATGGGTAAGCTGGAGGCATTTAAAATGTGGGCGTACCGAAGAATGTTAAAAATCTCCTGGAAGGATAAGATAATTAGCCAAGTTGTATTAGACAGGATGAACAAACAAAAGGTGGTCGTATTGAGTGTTAAAATGAGGAAACTACAATACCTGGGACATATTACACGTGGGAATAAATATCAGCTGTTACAACTAATTATGCAAGGAAAGATTGAAGGTAGGTGCAGCATGGGTAGGAGAAGAATGTCATGGTTGAGAAACCTCAGGAAGTGGTTTGCTTGCACTTCCATACAATTGTTCCGAGCGGCAGCCTCCAGGGTCAAAATTGCCATGATGATAGCCAACCTTCGTAGCGGAGATGGCACGTGAAGAAGAAGAATATCTGGGAAAATCAAACTGGCTAAAATATGATATTAAATTTAGTAAAAATTTTTATTTTTGGAAGTCAGTCACTTATTTTTTCAAGCAGAGTGGGCATTCAGAATGCCCACTCTGCTTGAAAAAATAAATACGCGTATCTCGTTCGCGCAGACGGACTGTCATGTTTTAGACGGAACCAGTGCTATTCAGTGACATTTTATCTGGTGTGCAAAATAAACTGTTTTTCAATCTTTAGGCAGATATTAAAAAAATGTTTCATTTATGAATAACAATATATTATTGCTACAAAAGTGATACCCTGCTGCTCTAAACCTAGCGATCTCAGACTCATTATTTAAGTAAAAATATTTTTTGGTTTCTGAACACACGCATACAATTTCTTCAAATACTTATGAGTTACCCTGTATATTAATATACCAATATTAATTTAGAAAATGTTTTTACCTCTTGTGACATATTTATTTTGAACGGTCTAATACTCTTATCCACCTTCTTCGATTCCTCCGATCCCCACCATTTTTCTTCATATTGTGGAATAGGCGGCACTGTGTACAAAAACTGATGGATGAAAAACACCACAGTAGACAATATAATCAAAAATAAGCTAATTTTAATACTACTCGCGACCATTATTGCGTTCTAGGTCACGACGTAACGATAAACACTTTACAGTAATAATATTAAACAAATAATTACTTAGTTAAATAACGCTTGTGTACATTAATACTATAATATTAGATAAAAACGACAATGTGCACTCAGTTTCTTATCGACTGCGGTATAATTAGTTTGATATATCTACGAAATGATAGAATGTTGATAATTTAGAAAACATAAAAAGAGAAGTAATTTTGGAAACTGTTTTTACTCGATTTATTTTTTGCTTCTAAAATAAACGCAAAACATACGTCCTTGTACATTATACTTTACTAGTTGCCACGTGTCGAATCTGGAAGCAAAACTATTAAAATTGTATTAGCTGACTACTCACATTCTAGTTTTTCTCGTTCCTTTAATGTTTCGAACTTTGTTTATTATCGAAGGTATTTAAACTTTGGATACCTACATCTTTACGAAAACTTTGATTGGAGTTGCAGCCAAATCGCTATCTTCAACTATGTCCAGTTATCTTGATCTCCAGCTAATATGATGAAATATGAGCAAAAAATCCGATAAAATTATTTCTTTAAATAATATGCCGTTTTTCTCATACGAATTAGACACATTGTATTGCTGCAAAAATTCAGCTCAGATTCAGATAAAAGATTTATCTTTGTTAAAAGTCTTTCTTCTCCTTCTCATTCCTTGAGCCCTTGTCAGGGCGTAGTGGCACTCTAAACATTATAACTGCCCATCGTGTTGGAGATCTTCTTCTTGGTCTTTGGCCTTTTAACTTTTCTTCTACTACCAATAGTTTCATGGTTCTCATTCTTTTAGCTACATGGCCGAAGTAAATTAGGTGTGCTCGGTTTACTTTTTTTAATAGCCTGTCTTTTATAATGAAGCTCTTCCATAATTGACAGGTTGTTTCTATGTTTTATCCAGGACACGGTAAGAGTTTCGTATAAATGTCTGTTAGGTACAGATTTTATGCAGAACGACAACCTTACCGTACATTTTTCAGGGAATAAAAATGAGATTTCTTCTAAAGATATTGAAAATACAAATCTTGACGATAATATTTTACATATTGACTATGTAGATAAAAATGAAATTAATATTGATATCAATGCTAATAAAATAATTTAGATCGAAAAAGTTCTTTGATATTTGTATGACTGATTATCTAAATCCCGAAAGAGCTAATGAACCTGTTAATATAAGCTCCCGTACTAATGTAATATTCAAGATATAAGAAAAAGAAGAATTAAGTTTTTAAGGTTATGTCAATGTTCTAAAATATGTAATAACGGTTACACATGTTTAATTAATATTCTCAGTTTCTCAGGCTAATAATTATTGTTTAATAAACTTTTTACAATTAGACAGTACAGTTATTTTATTTATCAGGTTATGGGCCCAGACACGGTATTACGAAATTTGAAAACTAGTCTGTCGTTCACACCGGTGCGTGGTAAAAATATATACGTCCATGTGGTAAAAGTTGTTTCACGTTTAAGTCGTGAGTTTCCCGTGTTTATTTTTCGTTACGTTCGAGTCGTACAATTATAAAATAAACATTTAGTGAAGTGCAAAAATGGCCTCAGCTGTGAAAATTGATTCTGGGAATATTACTAAATTTGATGGGTCAAATTTTAAACTATGGAAATTTAGTGTGACCATTTTGTTTAAAGCAGAGAAGCTGCTTCCAATTGTGAATGGGACAGTTAGAGAACCAGAAGACCACACTAGCAGTGACAGGAAAGAATGGGATGACAAAAATTCAAAAGCACAGGTAATTTTGTTATCCACTATATGTCAAGATCAAATACAACATTTGATAAATTGCGAAAATGCTTCAGAAATGTGGTCAAGACTGATCACAATACACGAACAAAAGACAGAAATATCTAGAGAGTAGAGTCTAAAAGATGTTAAAGAAACTATTAGTAATAGTGCTGTTTGTTCCAAAGTAATTAATAGTTTGCCTCCTAGATTTAATGCCTTTCGTACAGCCTGGGACTCTGTAGCTAGTGATCAGCAAACTTTTGAAAATTTAGCAGCAGGATTGCTTAAAGAAGAAACTAGAATGAATAATGATGACTCTGAAATATCTCGTCTTGCTTTACAAGTAGAGGATTTACAAAGTAAACTGGAAGCCACCAGTAAAAAGAAAACAAATATACAGGACTTGAAGAAGAATTCCACCTGTAATTATTGTAAACGCAAGGGACATTGGGTTAGAGAGTGTAGAAAGAGAATACATGATTCCAAAAATGAAGATAAAAACAAGTCATCAGCAAGTAAAATAGCATCAAGTTCAGCTTATATATGTGATATTTCTTCCATGTACTTGTCAACCTCCAGTGTAAATAAAAGTGAGTGGATATGTGATTCAGGAGCAAGCCTACACATGACTAGTGAAAAATTGTTGTTTTCAAAATTAGAATTTCTATCTGAACCTATGTTTGTTAGAATAGCAAACAACAAGCTGATTCCTGCAGAAGGTAAAGGTGTTATTGAAATACAGACATTTGTCCAAGGTGAGTGGTATGATCGTACTATAAATAATGTCCTATACATTCCTGAACTTAGTCACAGCTTATTTTCAGTGGGAGCTATGACAGATAAAAACTTTACCTATCATTCTCATAAAAACAGTTTCTAGAGCTAAATGGAAACATTTCATGTGTTGGAGTACGTAGAGATAATCTGTGGGTCATGAAATTTAGAGTTAAGCCTATTGTAGAATGTAATTTAGCTTGCAAATCATCAATAAAGTTATGGCATGATCGCCTAGGGCATATTAACTTCACTACAATTAAGAAAACAGCTAATTTGGTTGACAATAAATGAGAGTTGACAACAAAGGAGAATTTTTCTGTGAGACATGCCAGTATGGGAAGCAGTCAAGAAAGACCCATAAAAGTCTTACAAGAAGCAGATCAGACAAACCAGGTGAAATGATTCACACAGATGTATGGGGACCAGTAAACATTTCTTCTCCAAGTGAATCAAAATATTTTGTTTTATTTAAAGATGATTGTAGTGGTTACTGCAGTGTTTATTTTCTAAAGCACAAGTCAGATGTTCTTAACAAGTTTAAAGATCTTAAAATACTGATTGAAAATCAGACTGGCAATAAGATTAAGATTTTAAGAAGTGACCAAGGTAAAGGAGAATATATCAATAATGACTTTCAGGACTTTATCAGGAAGAATGGAATATTACATGAATGTTCAGCTCCTTATACACCTCAACAAAATGGCCGCAGTGAGAGGCAGTTACAGACAATTGTTGAAAGTGCAAGAACTATGCTTATCAACAAAAATGTGTCACAAGAATTGTGGACCGAAGCTGTAAATACTTCTGTATATGTTCTTAATCGAACAGCTTCAAGTCAAGTACAAAATATGATTCCATATGAAAAGTGGTTTGGGAGAAAACCAGATCTAAAGCACATCAGAGTTTTTGGCAGTACAGCTTACATGTTGATACCATCACAGTTTCGTAAGAAGTTTGACTCAAAATCAAGAAAATTATTGTTCGTTGGATATGATGGATATTCATCAAATTATAAACTTTGGGATTGTGAGAAAAGAAGAATTAAAGTGAGCTGCAATGTAAATTTTAATGAAGATGAAACAATTACAAATAAGAAGGAAATTTTTAAATTAAAATTTGAACTCTTAGATGATAATAAAGAAAGAGACAATGATGATATGTATGATATTCAAGAAAGTGACAATGAAGAGAGTTTAGACATGTCACAAGGTAGTAGGTCTCAAGCAACAGATCATGATGATGAGGATTTTGATTGTAATCTGTTCTATGATGCCAATGATGATAATTTTAATGATAGACAGCTACGGAACAGAAATACACTGTCTAAGCCTGACTATTATGATGTAGCAAACTACTGTGACATAGTTGAACCCATAAGTTATGAAAGTGCAATAAAGTGTGAGGACTCTAGCAAGTGGCAACAAGCAATGCAGGAGGAAATATATGCCCTCAAGTTTAATAACACATGGAACTTGGTGAAATTGCCCAATGGTGCAAAAGTGATAGACAATAAGTGGGTTTATCGTGTTAAGACTGGCTTAGACGGTAATCCTGTTCGTTATAAAGCACGTCTGGTTGCACGCGGTTTTATGCAAGAACGTGGAATAGACTATGAAGACACTTTCGCGCCGGTTGTGCGGTATGACCCAGTGCAGATTTTGTTATCGTTAGCAGTGGAAAAGGACCTTAGACTTGCTAATTTTGATGTACAGACTGCATTCCTATATGGTGACCTACCAGAGTGTGTGTACATGAAGCAGCCAACTGTTTTGAAAGTAAGAAGTCACACATCTTAGTGTGTAAATTGAATAAAAGCTTATATGGACTTAAGCAATCACCACGATGCTGGAACCAGAAGTTTGTATACTTTCTTAATAAATTTGACTTTTGACAATTAAAAAGTGATCAATGTGTTTTTGTTGGTAATTTTGCAGATTCTGAAACTTATTTAGCAATTTATGTTGATGATGGACTTGTCATGTCAAAATCAGAAAGAGCTATTAATGAACTTTTAAAAACTTTAAAGCAAATATTATTTAAAATAACTGTAAATTTAAATAGTAAATTACATTTTGTTGGACTTGAGATTGAACAAGATCTTAGTGTAGGTACAATTGATATTCATCAACATAATTATATAGAAAAACTTCTTGTTAAATTTAATATCACTAATGCTAACCCATTAAAGATTCCTGCAGAGCCTAGTGTACCTTTGTCTAAAGGAAATATTTTAAATTGTAATAAATCTTTGCCATATCGTGAGGCTGTTGGTTCACTAATCTTTCTGGCAACCACCAGTCGCCCAGATATTACATTTGCAGTTAATCAGGTGAGCAGATTCTTTAATGCTTGGAGTGATGAACATTGGAAAGCAGTAAAACGAATTTTTAGATATCTAAAATATACTGCTCATTATAAAATTGTGTACAGAAAAACTACACAAATCAAGGTAATAGGCTACACTGATGCAGACTATGCTGGTTGCCTGGATACAAGAAAATCTACTAGTGGATATGTACTTATACTAGGCAATGGTCCTATTACCT